GACTCAATCAATGGCAAAGGTCTCCCAAAAATTACTGCACTCAGCTCTCTAATTCCCAGATGCCGTAATACATAGTAATATCAACCCACAAGAAATGCACAACCGAACTCTCTCATTGGTGAGTGTTTTTTATTTTTTATTTTTTACTTTTGCAGAGAACCCCACTCATGTCCATCATACCACTCTCAAAGAGAATACAAAATGGGTAACTATTCTTCTTCACGCTTTTCATATTGGTCCACCGGCGTCCCATCTTGTAGGATGAGATCAATTGCATCGAGTAGAGCTTCAGACTCATACCACATTAGTATAGGCAGTGGGGGAAGGCCATATGATGCACGAAGTTCTTCAATTATTCTCAACTTCTCGATAACATGCAGACCACTCCGATTCAGCTCATATCTTTCCCATCCTTCCTCCATGGTTTTCCTCTCAGACCCCCTATTATTAACGTTTGTACGAAGGGGTAAAGTATTTCCTGCACTTGTTTCTTGAAGAGGTGCGGACGTCTCTTTCATCTGTCCTTCGCTGGGTGAAGCGTTATCATACGAAAGTGAGCCGTAAACAGAATAATTACTATTCCGGGAGATATCACCACTTTGTACAGATCTAGCTGTATTTCTAGATACAGCAGAATTTGTTGTAACTTCAGTCGTAGTAGTTGTTGTCAGAGGGTTCGGAGTAATGTCCACTGTGGTTGTTTTACTTGTGGATTGAGACTCCACAGTATCCATCTGCACCTTTTCTCGCGGTTGTTCTTGTTCTTGTTGTGGTCGCTGACGCAGTACAAAAAACAGAATGACAGCCACAATAACAACAACCACAACTGCGATAACAATACCAACAATGGCACCAACAGATAATTTATTCGAGCTTGGCGCCACTGCTGAGTCACTCTCCGGCAAAAAAGGTTCCCTCACATCATGCGACCAAACATAACGGCGACCGTTAAATGTCACATCAGATGCAACAAAGCAAAAGGTCACATTGTCAGCACCCAGTTCATACTTACTGTACAGACTCGAGATGTCAACATCAACAGATGGGGAATTTGGGAAGCTACTCCTCACACACAC